AAAAAAAAAAAAAAAAAAAAAAAAAATTAAAAAAAAAAAACAAAAAAAATTCAGGTTGTAAAACAATTCACTCATTACAATATGCAAGAAATAAAAGAGATTTTGCCAATTTCCAGTTAAAATTACAGTTGCAAGACTGATTTATGTAAACCTAAATATGTGCCAATTTTGGAATGCCTCTCTGTCAGTATAAAGGGGGAATACAGTTCATGGTTTTTCTATAAGTGAAATGTCAAAAAATTGAAGAGGATGTATTATTTATTATTTCTAGCATTCTTTTTTAGGAGATGCAGCAGAAGATAAAATATTATTAATTGTCATGCATGGAAGTGGACAACTTTTAACCTTTGGATGAGAATAACCATTAGGTTAATGTCACCCAGCCTGTGGGGACCAGTAGAAGATGTCATGGCTCCGCATATGACTATACTTACAAAAACGCTACACTTCTGGTCATCTTTAACAGCTTCATTCAAGAAAGGTTACAAGACAAGTATATTACTTCTTTAAAATGTGTTTCTGTGTTATGTCTCTCTCTTTTTCTCTCTCTTTTTTCTTTTCTTTTGTATGTTTGTTTTCTGTGGTTGTTTTTGTGCTATGCATATGTGCTAGTGCTAATCTCTGTTCTATTTTTTCTTTTTTTTGAGAGTCATACCTTGTTTGTACGTGTCCTTCTGCCTTCAACTCTTTCTTTTTCTTTTGTGTTTCTACATTCATGTGCCTTGATCAGTTTTTCTCTCCCTTCACTTATTCCCCCAATTCTTTCCCTTCGCCTTTTGATTCTTTCCCTTTATTTCCTGTGATACAAAACCGAAGCATATTGTTTCATTAAAGGGTTACTTTAAACATACATGAATGTAGTGCTTTCTCTCTCTCTCAAATCCCTCCTCCATTGATTTCCTTCTGTATATGCCCTCCATTATTGTTCCATCCTGTGGGAGAGTGACTACCAGTCCAAATTCAAAAGGCTTCCTATCTCCGGTTTGGGAGTTTAAGGTGACTTTTGTTGTTACAATTACATGTCATACTGAGAATTTTTCTGTTAAGAAGTACATTTGTAAAATGTTTTCCTGGAAATCATTATCAGTATCTTAAGTCTATTGGCACAATTACTTGACCAGATAGTTTTATTTTTTATTTGAATCACTAGTACAGAACTCTATATACATATAGCATACATATATTTTGAGAAATCTAATTTATTGTCATTTGCATTTTACTAGCTGCCAAAAGGAAAGAAGTTACTAATTAACCTTTTCAACATTATCAAATATCAAATATAAGTTCTAAAATGATAAAATAAGGGCACCTGGATGGCTCAGTCGGTTAAGCGGCCGACTTCGACTCAGGTCATGATCTCGCGGTCCTTGAGTTCGAGCCCCGCATCGGGCTCTGTGCTGACAGCTCAGAGCCTGGAGCCTGCTTCAGATTCTGTGTCTCCCTCTCTCTGACCCTCCCCCGTTCATGCTCTGTCTCTCTCTGTCTCAAAAATAAACGTTAAAAAATAAAATAAAATAAAATAAAATGATAAAATAATTTGATTCATGATTTAAAAGTATCCTTTGCTTAAAAAAATTTCTGAATTTACGTTACGTAAATTTAAGTTATGTCTTTTACCCCTGATGTTAGTATGATTTAAAAACATACATAAAGTGTTTCTGCTAACAGCCAAGAATTACGTTACCCTTTGAAGTGGCTTTTTATTTTTTTTTCAACGTTTTTTTTTTTTTTATTTATTTTTGGGACAGAGAGAGACAGAGCACGAACGGGGGAGGGGCAGAGAGAGAGGGAGACACAGAATCGGAAACAGGCTCCAGGCTCCGAGCCATCAGCCCAGAGCCTGACGCGGGGCTCGAACTCACGGACCGCGAGATCGTGACCTGGCTGAAGTTGGACGCTTAACCGACTGCGCCACCCAGGCGCCCCTGAAGTGGCTTTTTAAATATCAAGACATAAATAATTGTTAACTCCTATTATTTTGGCACTAGTATTTCAATCTTTAATAACGATTGTCTATTATCTCTTTCCTGTGTGTGTGTGTGTGTGTGTGTGTGTGTGTGTGTGTGTGTACATGGTCTTGAAATCTTAGAGTAACTCACAAAGCTTTAAGAAGAAAGATGATCCAGGTTTCTGATTAGCCAGATAGTCTCGCTGTTACCAAACATATCAGAATAGATACTTATAAAATAGCAAACATTTAGTAAATTCTTAGTATGTGCTAGGTATGATTTCATTCACTTCTTCCAACATTACTGTGATGTAGATAATGTTATCTCTATTTTGCAAGTAAGAGTACTGAGACTTATACAGGCCAAATAACTTACCCAGTATCCCACAGTTAGTGTGTAACAGAACTACAGAACTGGGATTTTAATCCAGGCTGATTCCAAAACCCAAATACACACCCAAATGTAGAGATTATTGGTAAGACTACAGTAAAATACATTTTAAACCTGAAGGTTTTTAGTCTAAGATAACTATCTATTTTTGATTTCTAGTGTGGTTGTACCTTTAAAAAATACACCTATTTGCTATACTTCTCCTTTGGTGAATGACCTGTTCATGTTCTTTTCTTTTGGGGGAAGTGGTGATGGTGGTAAGTATCTCCTTATTGAATTGGAATAGCCTTTAAAAATGGTATTAATCTTTGCTTGATTGGATATGATATAGACATTGTTTTCAGTTTTTCACTTATCTTTCAATTTTGTTTCTTTGTTTTTTTAAGAGGTTTTCTAAATTTTAAGTAGCTAAATCTATTAACCCCTTTCTTTGTGGTTGCTAACTTTGGTGTCCAGCTTGGGTGGTCTGATACCAGGGTCTGCTACCATCTCCTGCCTCTTCTCTGTGCCAGTCTGTTGTGTTTTGTGCTATGGCAAGCTTCAGTCATATCCTCCATGGGAATGCACTGGGTTTTATTTTATTTTAGTTAGTTAGTTTTAAATGTTTTTATTTATTTTTAAAGGAGAGAGAGACAGAGCATGAGCTGGGGAGGAGCAGAGAGAGAGGGAGACATAGAATCGACGGGGCTCAATGCTCTAAGCTATCAACTTGGAAAAGCTGATGGAATGGCTCAAACTCACGAACTATTAGAGATGCTGACCTAAACCAAAGTTGGACTCAGCAAACTGAGAACTACCCGTGCCCATTATTTCATTTTTTTAATTGTAAGTAGGCTTCATAGCCAGTGCAGAGCCCAGTGGGAGGCTTGAACTCATAAACCTGGGGTGGACCTGATGAGGTCAGATGCTTGAGGTATGTACCAGGTGGCATGACATCTGTTGTTGATTTAGAAACTGGGAGTCCTTGATCTCTCTCCCAGTTCCTCAGTTCAAGCCCTGTGTTGCCTCTGTGCTCTGCACCTGCAAACCCCTCCTTCCAGGACCCTCTCCTGCCCCCTATAAAAATATACAATACCAATACTGACAAACTTTTAAAAAGTATACAAGTTAGATGCTTGGGGGGGGGTGTCTTGGGTGGCTTGGTCAGTTGAGGCGTCCCAGCTTCCTGGCTCATGGTCTCACAACTTCAGTTGGAGCCCCATCGACCAGCTTTGTGCTTTGACAGCTCAGGAGACATGGAGCCTGCTTTGGATTCTGTGTCTCCCTCTCTCTCTCTGCCCCTCCCCTGCTTGCTCTCTGTCTGTCTCTCTCAAAAATAATAAACATTAAAACAACAACAACAACAGAGAGAGATACTTAACCAACTAAGCCACCCAGGTGTCCCTGCATTGGATTTTATAAGCCACAGAGCTGTGTTCTCTTCTGCCCTCATCTCACAGAGGTTTACATGAAATGCCTCCTAGGTTTTACCCAGCTCCTTCATCCTTGGGAGAATGACACAAGTAATAGACTCCACAGCTTTCAAAATCCTGCTTCCTTTTGATGTTTGGCCCATCCTGTGGGCTCTCCTTTAGGATGATTAACTTTCCCCAAAGGTTCTTTAGCACTATTGTAATTACCCTTACCCACTCCCACACCAGCTCTCCAGACATGGCCAGACATGTTCCCATCCCATGTAAGCTCAAGTTTGGGCGTGCTGTGCCCACTTAAATCTATATGTACAGAGGCAAGAGAGGCAAGTCAGTT